GATATGTGCATTTGTTTCATGATCTGCTTAACAATAGCGGAATGATGGCCATTTTAAGGCCGAAAATGCATCAAAATCACGTATTTTCACAATTCCAGAACCGGATCTCAGTCATGCATGGATGGATTTTGTTCAGATTTAGCACAATGTGTTGTACATATGCAGGTGCATTTCGGTCATGATCTGCTTTGAATGTATATGTCACTCAAATATGAACGGAATGGGGACGTGTCATTGACAATGACTTGTTTTCCTATATTTCACATTCAAATCATCAAAAATCAGTGAAAATAAATTCCATACAAAACACCCAAAATGCCTTTTCAGCAAAAATTAATTCCAGCTAAAATAAAATATTTCACAGTGTGTAATTGATGAATAGTATTTACTTTGAATGATGTCATGTGATTAATTATTCACGAGAATGTTTGCTTCAGACAAACAAAATAATTAAACAAAAACTAAAGTAGCCACAGACATATAACTGGCATTGAAATAATTTTTCAAGGGCATTGAAAAAGGACTTATTTGCAATTGTAAAATCCCATCACTGTTTAAAAAAAAAACTGCTGTCTGTTTCCGGTGACCTAAAACAAATTGAAGTGAATTGATATGTCATTAACGCTATCTAAGGAATCATTGGAGCTAAGAGTTCATCTATAGTTTATAGGATAATATTGCAGCTAAAATACTACAAATTTGATAAAAAAAGATCTTTTTTTCAACTTAACCATTGTTTTATATTTTCAACTTAACCATTGTATATATTTTTAAAATATTTAAAAATACAATAAGTTTGATGGTTATTGTGAAATTAACCAATTTGTTATAATTTTCTTTTTAAATATTTTTATAACTATTCTTTGTATTATATTTTGTCTTATAGTTATGTACTGGTTATAGGTCCAATAGATTGAAAACTGGTCTATGTTATGTGGCGTCGTTCTTCACAGTGGGCATATTAATTCTTGTATTTCACTGGAAACCATCATGGTCACTTAAAGCCAAATTCTCTAAGTGTCCTGTCAAGGATGCAGAGATTGTGTTGTTACAGGTAAGGATTGTGATTATCTAACATTTCTACTATATTTTAAACATCAAGCAAGAATGATCGCATTTGTTATCATAAAAGGCACAAGTACAATTAAATTTTTGGAAAGAGTTCCTTTTGTGTACCCCCCATCCCTAACCCTAACCCTACCCTCCCCTCCAGCACTCCCCATTTAATTGTACATGCCCCTCCTAAGGACATCAATAGTTATCTAGAGGGGGCATATACAAATTAATTGGGTAACTGGGAGTGAGTGTTACAGTTAGGGTTAGGGATGGGGGTACAAAAGGAACTCTAGCCAAATTTTCTAATATCTAGGAGGTTGGTATTCTTGTTAAAAAATTTTAAAACAAAAAATAATTTTGATTATTTAGACCTGGTAATCCACTTGAGGAAAAAAATTCCCAGTGTAAAAGCTGGTTATTGAGTTTTAAAATCAGGGTTTGAAAAGTAGAGCTTAGATGCAGAACCAGGTACATGTATTTTTGTTTGCAGACAAATTCAGTGAAAACACTGCCGCTGTCCTTTGACCATTGCTAGTACGTTTTGATACATGCATTCTAGTTGAGTTAGCAGAGCTATTATTAGATCCTGCTGCGTAGTAGAAAATCTTACTTTTAAATATATTCTAAACATTTTTGTGAGTGAATATTGTAAAATTTTGTAGCAGTGAAAATAACATTGGAGTCCTAAAGACAGCAAGGAATTCTCAGTGACTTTCACATGACTTTTGTCCTCACAACAATCAGAGAACATTTAGAGTTCTCAAAATGTTGTCTTCATTAAAATGTGAAAATTCCTCACAATATAAACATTATTTTTACTTTATTTTCTGTTTTTCATTACTTCAGAATTCACACGGTGAATTATTCACAGAAAAGTTATTTACAAAGTTTGTAGCAGAGTCTGGGTTTATTAGCATTAAAAATGGGTAAGTATATTTTATTTTAGTCTCACTGTGATGAGTGTTGTATTTCTCTACTTACATGCACAATCAGAGTCTATTTTCCGAGGAGCACTTCACTCACAACATACCTCATTCCTGACCCATACTTTCCAAGGAGCATTTGACTCACAACATACCTCATTCCTGACCCATACTTTCCAAGGAGCATTTGACTCACTTCATACCTCATTCCTGATCCATACTTTCCAAGGAGCACTTCACTCACAACTTAACTCATTCCTGACCCATACTTCCCAAGGAGCACTTGGCTCACCACATACCTCATTCCTGACCCATACTTTTCAAGGAGCACTTGACTCACAACGTACCTCATTCCTGACCCATACTTTCCGAGGAGCACTTGACCGACAACGTACCTCATTCCTGACCCATACTTTCCGAGGAGCACTTGACCCACAACGTACCTCATTCCTGACCCATACTTCCCAAGGAGCATTTGGCTCACGACTTACCTCATTCCTGACCCATACTTTCCAAGGAGCACTTGACTCACAACGTACCTCATTCCTGACCCATACTTTCTGAGGAGCACTTGACTCACAACGTACCTCATTCCTGACCCATACTTTCAGAGTAGCACTTGACTCACAACGTACCTCATTCCTGACCCATGCTTCCCAAGGAGCATTTGGCTCACAACTTACCTCATTCCTGACCCATACTTTCCAAGAATCACTTGGCTCACTACATTTCTATATGTGCTTCAGCCTTTTAACTGTGATTATGTTTTTCATCAAGTGTTTCATATGTTGTACTGCTAGCTCTGTCGTGAGACGATATTAAACTCTCATTTACAAGTTTTGAATAATAAAATATATGGGGTTTGTTTTGTTCAGTGATGTGTTCTTTCTGTTTACTGTTATAATGATTAATGGATTACTGTGTGGTGGTTCATAAACGATTTTATGTTGTATTTGTCAAGTATTAATTTCTGGTAATGACAGGATCGTATTAAACCCTGTTAGCACAATGTTGTGAATTCACTGTATTATTGATTGAAAAAGTGTTTGTTTCTATGGAAACTAAATCATTAACTATTGTTTGCAATATGTTTAATAGATTGCTAAATGCGATCAAAGCATATGGTTCTGTAAAAATGAAATTTAATTTGCCAACTGTTGTTAATTAGTCTTGAATGGGAAGTGAACAGATGATGCTACTATTACCAGTATGTATAAGACATTCTGTGTTGACATTATCATATCTAGTACTCGCTTTCACAGATGCTCAGAGTCTCCCAGCTGATTTGACGGAGCCATATCTCACCGCCTGACATTCAATTACTCAGTCTTGTTCTAGCTTACCACTTTAATTACTTACATCCTCGTTACTTATGGGGCATCATTGTGAGTGTTGCCCATTGTGAGTGTTGCCCCCATGGTTGCCCATTACAACCTTGACATATCTACCATTGCTGTCAACCCATCATTACAATTTCAATATACCCAAACATGTTAGCCCATCATCCAATAATACCCATCATTTGGTCCAATCATTGTCACCACTTAAAACCCATCATTGCTGTTGATGCATTCATTGTTACCCACTTAAACCAATCATTGCTGTTGGCCCGTTATTGTCACCCACATAAACCCATCATTGTCACCCACTTAAACCCATCATTGCTATTGGTTCAATCATTGTTGCCCACTTAAGCCTATCTTTGTTGTTGGCCCATCATCGCCACCCACTTAAGCCCATCATTGCTGTTGGCTCATCATTGAACCCTACTTAAGCCCATGATTGCTGTTGGCCCATCATCATCACCCACTGAAGCCCATCATTGCTGTTGGCCCATTATTGCCACCCTTTTAAACCCACCATTGCCGTTGGCCCATCATCATCACCCACTTAAGCCCATCATTGTTGTTGGCCCGTCATTAAACCCCACTTAAGCCCATCATTGTTGTTGCCCCGTCATTAAACCCCACTTAAGCCCATCATTGTTGTTGGCCCGTCATTAAACCCCACTTAAGCCCATCATTGTTGTTGGCCCGTCATTAAACCCTACTTAAGCCCATCATTGCTGTTGGCCCATCATTATAACCTACTTCAGCCCTCCATTGCTGTTGTCTCATCATTGTCTCCTCATTTAACCTATCATTGTCACTCATCGCGAACATTAGACCATGATCACTACTCATTTTTTTAGGGTTACTTATCATCATCGTCGTCCTTCCAGCATCACAAGTGTGCCTGGACGAGGGCGCTCTACAAGTATTAATTCGGCCACTACATCAGCATCTGAAGATGATGATACTGTTGCCTTACTGGTTGGTAACAATAAAAACCAGGTCAGTAATAACTTTTAATCAAAACATTTAAATAAAATCTCAAGAAATTGCAGAAAACGTCAAAATATGTTTTGGTGGTATAAATTACAGCACATTTATTGATAAAAAGAAAAATTTTCATTTGATGTTTTGTAATTTGTGATGGATTTTAATGGTGTAACTTATTTGTTTATAACCAACTTTCATTTTAGGTAAGAATAAAATATTTTTGTCTACAAAAAGTGATGTACCTTTGGGACCCACATGGCAATAGTTTTGAGAAACTTCATGGCTTAGATAAAGACACACTATGTGCCAACTTCTATGATGACTACCATGGTTTCAGTGAAGAAGAACAAAGTAAAAGGTATGTATTAATTTAGGCTTGCTCTGTTTGTTGTCAGATATATTTTAACCTGTGTTTCTAAGTCAGAAATGAGGACTCCTGTTTTGAGTCAGTTCGCCTGTGTGTTTGTACATGCCTGAATTGATTTTGTTTAAAGCTGGTCTGAGGCCAAAGGTTATGAAATCTGCTATATATGCATGTCAAATAATGATTGATAATGATTTGTGGCCTTTAGTCTCCAAAAACACTTAAAATCATCATGTGAAGAAATCATTAACCATTTCTCAGGCAAGCCTGGGGCAATTTTTTTCAAACTTAGTATTAAATAAAAATTGTGAATTTGATTACCATTTTTTGTTGGTAACAACACATGTTTTTTTGACAGGTTTTGTTTCTGTAGTTAATGAGTTGACTACATTTCATTGTTTATAATTGACAGGGTCATTAAAAACTGAACAGGGACTATGTCATCGACAATGACTTGTTAATTCAATGCAGGGGTTCTGTTGTCTCAAAAGTAGAGACATTTTATCTAAAATAGCAACTACGTGTTATCGAATATTTTTATTTGCCATATTTTGGGTGTAAAACAGTCAGTTTAACAGAAAACACTTTGTCTGGAATTGTAAGACAATTCAACGTTTTTTAGTTATCTTTGTATAAAAATGTGATTACAATTCTTTACAGATTGGCAGTGTATGGTAAAAATAGCATAGACGTTGAAGTGAAATCGTACGCAAAGCTGCTTTTTGAAGAGGTAGGTCAACTTCATTCCAGCATCTCTTCGAATATTTAGTGGTCAGACTCTCAAAATCAGGACATGGTCTAATGTTTTTTCAACCCCTAAAAACTATATTACTTTGGAAACAAAATATGTTGCCTATTGCGTCAGACAATTAAGTACATTTACTGTGTTTATTTATAGATATAGCCAGGTTTGATTATTAGAGAATATGTACATATGATGGTTTCTCGTCTTGTTTGTGTTACGATTACTAGACCGGTTAGGAAACTTTCTTTCTATTTGAGAACCACAAAATTATCGATTATATCACAAAATTCGCACAGAAGTCGGTGATGATTCTATGTTGATTTTTCGACTTAATGAGCTGTATTTCTTGAATTTAGTAGACACACTTGAAAAACGAACAGAGATAGCAATATAAGGGATGACGTCATAATAATTGGACACGCATCAAAGTGAAGTCGATGGATAATTTACAATAGTTTCCTAATCGTTCTTCTAGTAACCATGGTTGAGTATAGCATAATCTAATTAATTTCTTGAGTACTGAAAATGTATTTAATTTTGCTGCTAAAAGAAAAAATTTCCTAAATTGAATCTACTTTAACATCTAAACTTGCAGTAAAACTCGCTTCTGCACTGGAGAATCTGTGAATTTAAAAATTTGGTGAATATGATTAAATATCAAAATAGTGAAAATAAATACCAGTGGAAGTTGATGCTTTTATTGTATTTTAAAATATTTCTTCTACTGTATCGGCATTATCGGCAGTGTTCGACAATAACAAAATTACAATGTAGTCAGACCTGACTATATCATTAATTTCTTCTACACTGTTTTTTTTTTTCTTTTTCCTCATGGCTCTGCTTATATCACATGTCCATGCATGCTCTGTTGTCACGTAATCACATAGAGACCACATTAAAAATTAAAAACACTGACAGTTGTTTCCATAACTACATGTATCCTTGGGAATTGAAATATATAGCTGGTTGGTTTGAATTAATATTATTTGCTTTTTCACGCATTTTTTTCCGAATTTTTTTGCAATGCACCATTCAGCATTTCATTCATAAGGTGCAAACAAATACTATGTTTCTGGGGAACATGATTCATCCCATTTTATGATTTACATAAAATGATAGCATGACAGTAAATATAAAAATTTGCAGAAGCCATTCCATCCAAAAACAACAATAAAATCTTGTCACATTTGGGAAAACAGTGTCCAGAAACATATTTTTCACTGGGGCTAAATATTTTTTTGTTTGTTTTTTTCATAATATTTACCACTGGCTGCTCATGCTGCTCATAGCTTGTAATATTTCTCATCTTATAATCAAGTCAGTGAATTGAAAATTTGTGTTAATGTTGGCTTTATTTATTTACATGTTTTTTGTGTTCAATTTTTTCTACCGCAGTCATCGAAAGATGGAGATGAAACAGTAGGTTTTCCTGAAGAAAAAAAATGGGAACTTAGTTAAATTCTGGATTAATCTTTGCAAACCAAATTTGTTGGAAATTGTTTTATTTCTGGATATTTTTGTTTAATTGTATCAAAAATCCAATATAGCTTTGCAGATCTTGTGCTAGACGTCTGTCATTGATACAGATTCATCCAGCCACCTGTGTATTCATCTGTCCGTTCGTTTGTTTGTTGTCCTCTCTCATTTTGAAATTCATTGTCATATGTGTGTTGTAAAGGGTAAACCTTAGGTTTCTATGTCCTTCAATATAAAACACAAAGTTAAAAAAGTAAAAAACGGTGGGGGGGGGTGTTAAACAAAGACTATTATATTATTCTCGTTTGTTGTTGAGATTGTCTTTTCATAAATTCTGTTCATATAACAGCAGATGACTGAATATACAATGTATATATGGGTTGCTGTTGTTTTGTTGTTACAGCGCAGCTCAAAACAAATTGAGTGTATATTAAATGTTACATATAGAAACTCACTGCACACAGGCAACCTTTGCATGACACAGTAGAATAGTAGTCTAGACAACACTACCAATAGTTTTATTTCCTTTTACACCTGTTAATTATTCTCACTAAACTGACTATCAAAACTGTTAAATTTGTTAATGTCAGAAATGCTGCGATTTTGAACAATTAATAAACTGTGTTGAATGATGCATGTCTACAGACATTCATTGTGAAATTAAAGTACATTGAACCAAGTATGGTCCCTTCCCATCATGCTTCTTGTTTGTGTCACTAGCATTTATACTGTAAAACTCTTTAACCTTTTCACAACCAGACTTTCTTGCCCAAATTAGTCTGCACTTTTTTCAAATATTTCTGGAAATGAACCCTAATTTTGGAGCCAACAAACAAAATTCGAGCCAATTTTTCAGTTTTTACTCAAAAACTTTGGCTATTATTGTCCCACTCTTCTGAAGGATAGTGCAGACTATAAATGAGACTATTTTGTGAATTTGTGATGAAAAGAGGGAACTAGTGGTGAACAGGTTAAGGGCGGTCTGAATGACTAAATTTTAGGAAAGTAGATGTTAGACGAGTCACCTAAAAAATCATAATGAAATTTACACTGGTACAAGTTTTGTGATATTTCCCTAATGCTGTTTCACGAATGATGAAGATGATGTGCACGTCTTTGACCATCATTGTCAATCACAAACTAGTCCAGATTAGCTGGTCAGTACAAATCCTGATTTTAAGCTTTTCACCAACCGACTTTCTCACCCAAATTTTTCTGCACTTTTTTCTTGTATTCTTCAATATTTCTGGAAATAAACCCTAATTTTGGAGCCAACAGACAAAATTTTAGTAAATTTTCAGTTTTCACTCAAAAAATTTGGCTACTTTTGTTCCAATCTTCTGAAGGAAAGTGCAGACTATAAACAAGACAATTTTGTGAATTTGTAAAGAAAAAAGGTAACTGGTGGTGAAAAGGTTAATCTTCTAATACTACTCATCACACCCCTCCCTTAGTTCCTCAGCCAAGGCCTTTCACAGGATTCTAATATTTTGACAATGGAAACCTCTGAGTGACAATTTAAGGGATATTTTACAATTATTGAATCATAAATATTTACGGTGGTCACATATAGCTATTTTCATTTCATTCATAATAATAGTGACATCTTTCCCTCAATTCCCATAGTAGAGATTGTAGCAGTAGTAAAAATTATGAAAGTAGCTGTGCCAACAGTCAATTGATGTTTGTTTTTTGTTTTTTATTGCAGATTTTAAATCCATTTTATATTTTCCAAATCTGGAGTGTAATTTTATGGATGGCTGAAGAATATTATTATTATTCTAGTTGTATCATTTTTATATCAGTTTTGTCTATTGGTATATCTCTTTATGAGACAAGAAGGGTGAGTTTATCCCACCAGTGTCAATTGAACTTTACTGGAATTGCCATTCTTAAGTTGATATCCAACAGCATGCCAGTCTATGAATAGTTTGTGTTGGTGTTTAATAATTAAAAAAAAAATCTACCATATCATTTTGAACCTTTCTATATTTTGTTGAAAACATTTTTTTTTCATGTCTTGTCTACATTACATAATAGTCACATATTTAATGTGTATCCCATATTTAGGCCAGACTTTTTTTATTCCTTGTTTCTCGAGTTTTTATAAGGCATTTTTTTTGAGGAGGGCAGAAAAAAAATAGATTTGTGTGATTCTCAAAGAATTGTAAGTGAGATCATTGATCGGAGAAAAGAAATGAAATAAAATGTTATTCCATGTATAACTTTCTCATCTGCACAAGACTTCGGTACTTTGATCATGATACTCCCACGAAAATGTAACTTGGATTTGGTATGAGGCGGGCGTTAAAAAAATTAATATAAAAATAATATTTTTTTAGCAATTTTTTGCGCTTACAAGATGGCGGGCGCGAGAAATTACGCTGAAATGTTATTTTTATTTCATTTTCGGCTCATGTTTATTTGGCGGGTTCACGAAACAAAGGATAATAAAAGTCTGGCCTTAATGCAACAACATCTGCTATATTGGTATGTGTTAATTGTATCATATTGATTTGTATTACAGCAAAGTATAACATTACGTAATATGGTTGCACACAGTAGTACAGTACAGGTATGCAGAGAGGACCAATGTAAGTATCAGTGAATAGAGTAAGACTTTCATTATTTTTGTCATGTTTGCACTGTGCATTTATTGCATTAGTCTTGTATTATTAATGTATCATATTTATCACTTTTATGTCACACATGTATTACCTTTCATTGAATTTTAAGATTGCTATATTTTTATCATTTTTTTTTAAAGTAATTATCTTGTATTAAATTACTCTGACTGAGTTGATATATTTAATCTCTAATGAGGTGTATTAAAAATATGTGAAGTGTTCAAAATATGTATGACAGGTTTGGTAAAACCCATGTCATTGGTGAAATCATCACTTCCTAGACTAATGTATCTCAATATACTGCAAAATCAGTACGCAAAATAATAAATTATTCTGTAAAACTTACCTTTCTGCCACATTTCCCTGAAATTTGTGAAAATATTTTCTCTTGCCAAATAAGTGATGTCTAATCCTGGTGCACAGGGTCACAGTAGACCACACTTGCGTATCAGTGACTACAACCACCATTAGGGAAGAATTAATTTACAACAAACACATGTCTAAAACTTGACTTTGTATTTGAATTTATTCATCTGGTCACTCATCTGCCAAGGATTTAATTTTCTTGTAACATCATCATTCCCTTGTCTCCTGGTGGAGAATAGGGCAAGCATCTCTCTTCCTCCATGCTTCTCTGTCTTGAGCCGCTACTTCTGCCTCTGCCCAAGTCTTGTATCCCAATTGATTTCTTTCCTTTTCTACAGTTCTTCACCAATTCTCTTTTGGTTTTCTCACATTCCTTTTGCCCTCTAGTGCCCATGTTAAAGCGATTCTTGGTATGTCATTCTTTTCCATGCGTAACACATGTCCAATCCACTTATACCTCCTGTTTTTGTGTACGCACTTCTAATACTAGTATCAGGATTGAGTGAGTGCCGGACATTATTTAATACTTTATTGGTTTTTCCTCCAGCAATTGAAGAGATTAATGGTGAATTTCTTGTTCCTGGTGATGTTATAATTATACCATCTACTGGTTGTATCATGAACTGTGATGCTGTACTTGTCGGTGGAAACTGTATTGTCAATGAAAGCATGCTAACAGGTATGCTACATTTCTATTCACAGAAATTTTCATAAATCATAAATTTTTATTCAATTATTTTCAGAAATAAAAAGTTGCTGTTACTCTGTGTAATTTATTCTCTGATTTTCCTTGTTTTGTGGAAATTAGTCTCTCAGGTAGGAGTTGGGAGACGAACATTACTTCTAATCAAAATAGTACAATGCAACAGAGGGGATGCAGCTTCTATTTGAGCATCTGAATTTTTTGTTTTTAATTGTTCAAAAAAATGTGTGGCTTTTATTAGGGATGCAGCTTCTAATTTTACGATGGTAGTAATTATCATTCATTTAACGTTAATGTCCTTTGTGTTAGAGTGAAAAATATTAAAGGTTAATTACAAAGAGCACAATATAACCAGTATTATTAGTTTGGTCAGACTTCCTAGTTTTGAGCTTCAGTTAAAGGCATTTGAAGACGAAAAGAAAATGTCATTTTTAGTATAGTTGTTTGACACTGCATATTGAAAAATACATTAGAGTATGATTTAGCATGAAATAAAAAATGTTGTGTAGCTCATATCTGAGTATTTATTTGACAAAACAATGACATTCTCAAATATACATGTGCACTGGTTGTTTTGGTATGTACAATACTACACTGCACATGCATATTAGTGGGTTTGATTTTTTATCAAATACTGCCGTGTGTCCTGAATATGCAACATTTTTAGTTTATGATAAATTATAACCTAATTTGGTATCGAACAACAATATTAAACCGAGGGAGTCCTCACCTGCACATGCGTCAGATAGCCATAGCGTGTCACTGTTTACAAACAAACGTCTACCCATGAGCCTTTGCATTTTTAGTGTGTGTTGTTATCATTGCTTGGGACTCAATTCCCATGTGTGCGCAGGTGACAACCCTCCTGCTTTAAATTTACTGAATATATATTTACTCATTACAGGTGAAAGTGTACCAGTCACAAAAACACCACTACCACATTCCCATGATGTGTCTGAGGAGTCTGCTTTCTACAATCCAGACGAACATAAAAGGCACACGCTGTTCTGTGGCACTCACATCATACAGACTAGGTACTATGGAAGTGAAAAAGTCAAGGCTGTTGTTGTCAGAACCGGTAAGTAGGTTTTATGTTGAATGTTGGTTGTACATTTATCAGTGAACATGTATGTACCTGTAGTATACATGGCAGCTAAATAATGTCCTTACACATGTCCCATATGCTGAAACACTGCCATGATTATTCTCCAAAATCTAAGGTTGCCTAATTTGCATATATTTAGCATATCACATGGTCCTTTATGTTAGTGGGATAGTCTTGCATTTCTCTGTCATTACCAAAATTTCGCAAAATTTTTTGTAAATTTTCTCTGAAGTACAATGTATCTACACAATGTACATGATGATATTTCTGTCTTCAGTTCTTCTCAATCTTAAACTTAAAAGTTCTGAATCCCACAAAGAATTTATATACAGAGTAACCATATCAACCAAGTGTACAGCGGTTAATGCAATCCTGTTATGCCTGAGTGCATACTTCGCGGTATTTTCATGTTAAACTTAATACCACATCGCCTCCTAAAAACCTCCATGGATAGGCAAATGAATAGGGGAGAAAACAGCATCAGTGAACTATGTGTTAAAATAGTTTATTACCTTTTCTGTTCCAGAGATTTGATTTTATTCCCATCACACAGTCACAACATTGTTGATGTGTAAACATAGAAAAGTGTTTAAATATTACATAAATGGAGATTATCATTTTCCAAATAAGGAAGATCCATTTGATTGTGTCTGTAATACTTTCGAACCCATTGGTATGGGGTTTTATGTATTGATAAATTTTATTATTATACATCTGTGACCGTAACGCCATAAGTTACAGCGTGTTGTAATTTTACGTTTTTTACAGGGTATTTTCATCCTACCATATTTGGAAATACAAATTCCAAATATAGAAATATTACGTGCGTAAACATCCTCTACTAATAAAAACAAACATGGCTGCCACCAAAGTTTGACCGGACTCCACACAAAGAAGTTCTCTGATTCTGTTCTAAACATTTTGGATTTTGGCATTCCCATGATGTATCCTTGGAAGGAAAAGATAATAAGGTTATCGCGAGGATAGCTCAAAGTATGCACTCAGACAGTACGCTGTATTGTCTTTGTGCATACTTTGAGGTATCCTTGTAATAACCTCATATTCATTTGACTCTGAGATCAAAAATAATGATGTATGGGTGGTGATTATAACATCAAACAAGTTCAATATGTGTTGGGTATAACGCATAAACACATGTTATCATATATTGCACCATATGGGAACATACAACTGAACAGCAACTGTTTCCATTTTAAGGACAACTACGATACTGATTAATTGGTTTCAGTTATCTTCAAATCACTTGGCAGTGTTACAAAAATGTATTTATTCTTGTAGGTTTCTCAACCGCAAAAGGAGAGTTGGTCAGATCGATTTTATATCCCAAACCTCTGGGTTTCAAATTTTATAAAGATGCCATGAAATTCATTGGTGTGCTTGCTATACTGGGTAAGTTGCCTTCATCTTTACTGATGTTGGGAGTGTAACTGTTCCGTCCTGCTCCACACACTAACAGAATATGGTGTGTCTTAGTTGTTGCCATGACAATCTTACATTTGCTCGCAATAGGGTGATCACTTGCTTGGCAGCAATAACAACATCTGATGAGTCGGCTTCTTTTCTCTGAAAAGTACCTCTTTGAGATTTGTCAAAAAATTGTGTGATGTTACTTTATACTTGAAAATTGTGTGCAATGAAAGCAGTTTACAATATTGTGATTATTTTAAAGCACCTGGAAGCAATATTCACTGAAAAGAAGAATTTTGGGTTGATAAATATAAATAATCCTGTCTGAACTCAGTAGTCTTAGCGAAGTGAAGAAAAGGGGTTTATACAACATGTGATATTATGTACTACCATGTATTTATAAGATGACGATTTCCGCATACCACCAGACAGTTGTATCAAAATACACTTATCTTATGAATTCTTGATAATACTTTGTCTTGTCTCTTTCAGCTCTGCTCGGGTTTGCATATACACTGGTAATATTTATAAGAGATGAGGTAAGTACAATAGTCTATTGTTTCCTTTCTCTGGTTAAGTTTGTACTATAGACCATCATCATTTATTGATAATGCACACAAATTGACAAAGTATTTTATTTATTTTATTACCATGACAATTATTCACTATTCACAGAATAGTTCTGTTTACACTATGCTGCTGATCCCTTGACATCCTGTGTCAGCCCACTGTCTTTCCACAACCCAATTTTGTTCCAACTCCTCCTACTAACAATAACATAGACAGTAAGTTTCAGTTCTTTAAAACATCAAACTGATGTTTTTATTCATAGTTTGAACACTACATCGCTAGAAAAACATGGCAGCCCCCTCTCTACATTGTTTCTCATGACCCATGACCTAACTATGACCCATCTTGAACATAACTCAAACCAATCCAACAACACCCCACCACAACCCCATCCAACCTCACCATACTGTAAACCTAACTTCAACCAACCCACTTTATCTAATCCAATCCTACCATTTCACCATGTTTTTACATTATGCATTTTTAGTTATACAACACTAGTCTGGACACCTTACACTAGACAAAATCTGGTTATTATCAACAGGTTCCTGTATTAATTAAAGCGTATCTTACACTAGACAAAATCTGGTTATTATCAACAGGTTCCTGTATTAATTAAAGCGTATCTTGCACCAGACAAAATCTAGTTATTATCAACAGGTTCCTGTTAAACATATCTTGCACCAGACAAAATCTGGTTATTATCAAGAGGTTCCTGTTAAACATATCTTGCACCAGACAAAATCTGGTTATTATCAACAGGTTCCTGTTAAACATATCTTGCACCAGACAAAATCTGGTTATTATCAAGAGGTTCCTGTTAAACATATCTTGCACCAGACAAAATCTAACAATTTGTTGACTTGTAATGGATATGTTTGTTATTATCAACAGGTTCCTGTAAAACATATCATCTTCAAAGCATTGGATATCTTCACCATTGTAGTGCCGCCTGCATTGCCTGCTGCCATGACAGTGGGCACAGTGTATGCACAGAATAGACTCAAAAGACGAGGAATATTTTGTATTAGTCCACCAAGAATCAACGTGTGTGGGAATATTAAACTGTTCTGCTTTGATAAGGTATGTTGAAATCAAGGGCAAATACAAATCTGAGCTAAAAACATGCATGTTAAAATGAAAACTAAGTGCAAATTATGTGTGGAAGGTCTCGTCTGAAGTGATTGTATTTTCGGTTTAATGACTTTGTTTTTTAGCATGCTATCATCACAGATGATGGATGATGATTGTCAGTCATCCATCCATTAAAAGTACCGGGTAACATTTTTAATTTCTTCTTGAAAATACCAACCAAATTATTTGAAGTATAGGTACCTTGGGTAGACCACTAGCATTTCAAGATAATATCTTTAATTCTCTAATTTTAGCAACTATTTTTAAAAATTATATTTTTATCTTCTCCTTGGGAACTAGCGGAACAGATTTACCCGATTTGAATGATTTTGTGACAATATTATTTATTTTTAACAGATATGAACAAGTTGTTTATTGAAGTTAGATAGACATGTCCTTAACTACCTCCTTGTAGGTAAACTGCATTTTGTCTTTTGGGTGTGCATTAAGTTATTTGGCTACCACAAAGTTCTTATAAGACAGCACAGCTAATTTGACTGCCAGGTCACTAAAAATGTCACCCAGCTTTTCAGATTTTCTTCAAACCAACTGGTTATAGAATTTATAAAGTTAGACATTCATATTTTCATCAGGCATCAGGCATTTGTGGAGTGTTGTCTGTCATTAACTGGTGCAATTAACTGGAACAAGTCCTCAACAATACTATGCAAAACTTTTTCACTTTTTCCATGCAGACTGGAACATTAACAGAAGACGGATTGGATCTATGGGGCGTTGTACAGTTACAACAAGATCACTTACTAAAAGCAGTACAGAATGTTGATGAGTTGCCTAGGGGGCCTTTTTTGGCTGGCATGGCAACCTGTCATTCGCTGACAATGATTGATGGAAATCTGACAGGTGACCCCCTAGACTTGAAAATGTTTGAAGCCACCAATTGGGTATGTAGAAGATTAGTGGAAGCATTCATACTTTTTATTCCATCAGTGTTTCATTTTAGTCATGTCGGCGGTAGTCAGAAACAAGGACTTGAGTTTTGGTCTCTGTCAATCATTGTTTGTTCTTCTTGCGTCATTTCTCGGATATCCCGGGCTGATTTTGCTGGTGCAAAAACAAGCGATAATAGGAGACATGTGCACATTGATTGGTTCGAGCACTCTTGAAAAGAACCAACAAAATTAACATTCGCAATTAACAGGCATGCCTGAGGTGATTTCATTGAAACTTGACATCACTCATGGTTGTTATGACAAATGTTTTACATTTAGGTATGTTTATTTTACTACTTATGGTGTGTATAAATTCATAGCGTCCTTCGGCTTTATCTCACCATTGAGTTATAACTCAGTAAAATGATTGAATCTAATTAAATTTTTATAGCAGTGGACATTTTGATGTAGTGTCCTTGTGACTTATAAAATTCTGTCCTAGCAAACACCTTATCAAATCACAATATTCTAGCGGTTAATATTTAACCAGTTACTGTATATCCCAATCGTCATATACACATGTTGCTCAGTATTTCTTGTCACTGCGTACAATGTATGGAGACTATAGATTTTCTATTTGTGTAACTAATAATTCTGATGTAAATTCTAGTTGCTTGAGGAGCCAGGTAAAGACAGTACAAAGTTTGAAAGTATTATGCCTACAGTGGTGAAACCTGTGACCGCTGACACATTCCTGTCCAAAGATGCTTCAGAGGTAAGATTTCTTTTTTAGATCACTTCCACAGCTCTCCCTTCCTTTCACAACATGGTAAATAGAGTTCATTGGATCAAAAAACAACAGAAACTTACCTGACTTTCTTGCTGTGAGTAAGCAGTCTCCACATGAACTGTAATTTCTCTATTAGTAGTGTAGTGCTTACCTAACTACTAACTGAAAAAAAAAATTACTTTTAAAAACAGTCTTCAAAATTCTTGATATTCTGCAAATAAAGACTGATTTCCCTGTAACATTAAATTTTACTTTGGCAGCCATTTTAGATTTGATAACGAAAGTGCCAATCACGAAGAAGAATTTAACAAGTTCCCAGCAATTTGTGTTCTAAAAGTGTTTGCAACGACCATCCTTTTATCTGTATTACCATGGTGATATGTAATTAGAAAGTATTTTTAGAGATTAGAATTAGAACGTAACACATTGCGTTGTAGAAGTTTTACGATTATTAGTTTTTGTTGTTGGTCTCCTTTATGAAACACTGGTAACATTAGCTGTCGAATATAGATAAATATTCAGGGCTGAAATTGAACAACGTTCATAATTAGAAAGTATGACTCACAAGGAATGTTTCTGTATTTTTTACCGCTCTTTACAGATTCCATATGAGATTGGCATTGTTCGTCAGTTTCCGTTCTCATCCTCATTGCAAAGAATGAGTGTCATCACACGAACCCTGGGTGCTCCTAATATGGATGTATATGTGAAGGGATCCCCAGAAATGATTTCGTCGCTTTGTCAAGCAGAGACAGGTAATGGAAGATACCTTTCAAGGGGTTGGGTGGTTTACTTTTACTATCCACTATGTCTTGTTACAATGTATTATATGTCTTCTATATTGCCCGGCCTTTTAACACTATAAAAACCCAATGAGTGAGCTATGCAAAAATTGCCTATGACATACCCTGTCTTGTTTCGACTATCATTCTTTCCTAGCTTATCAACACATTGTGTTGTAAAACAGTTTTACGATTTTTAGATTTTAAAGTCACGTTGTGGGTCTCCTTTATGAAGCACTGATAACATTAGCTGTCAAATATAGATAAATATTCAGGGCTGAAATTGAACAACGTTCAAGAGTTTAGAGGTTTTGGTCAGAAATTCTGGTTTGAAAGATTTAGAACACTTGTGTGTCTTGCTGATGATGTCAAGCACAGAAATATCAACCCACACAATGATAGTTTGAATAAATGACAAAAATAAAAACACCAGTAGCTCAAAACAATTCATTTTATTTTTAATGGAACATATAAGGGATATACACACTGTATGATGAAAAAAATTTCATGAATTTTTATAATTTTGTGATCTTGGTTGTACAGCCTGGACACTTGCACCTTGGGCGACACCAATTCATGCTGATCATTACAAACTCCCACCGCTAATAAATATTTCATTTTTTTTTTTTGTAACAGTACCAGATGACTTCCATGAAGTTTTACATAAATATACTGAGCAAGGATTCCGCGTTATTGCGTTGGCATGGAAACCAATGAAGAGCAAGTTTTCATGGCATCAGTCTCACCGCATTGGCAGGTATGTATGTTTTTTTTACGTATTTGAAATCAAGCGTAACTAATATATATATATTGTTCTTTATTAAATTTTTGCTAAGAATATGCTGATATGAAAATTGTCTTGGCCAATCATGTAGGCCAAACTTATAGGACACATATACACATGTATCTGTTTCACGATCCGATTCAAGAAGGCCAAATAGCAGCCATTTTAGTGTTTAAAATCATCAAAAATATGCATTTCTGTTATTCCAGAGCAAGATCTCGCTTGTGCATAGACAGATTTTGTTCAAAATTGGTACATATACATTGACTATAGTGCTACAAATGCATGTTTTTGATATGCTTTGACTGATCATGTTCAAACTAAACTAATTTTTACACGTATGCACATGCATTTGTTTCGTCACCTAATTCAAGATGGCAAAATGTCAGCCATTTTTAACCCCTAAGTCAATTTCAGACACCATCCACAAAATAGTCCCATTTATAGTTTGCTCTTTTTCACAAATTTTTGATCAAAAAGTAGAAGCAATGTCTGTCTGGTTCAAAATTATTTTTGGTTTCCATGAAAATTTAAGCAGGAACAAGTTCAACAATCAAGGATTAAAGCTAAAAATGTATCAAGTTCCCAACATTTCAAAACTGAATTAAATCAAATAATAATGTCATTCACACCTGACTGGCTTCAGTTTTGTTTACATGACAGGGACTATGTCATCGTTGAATTTTTTCTCCTTCAAATTTAGAACTGAAGTTGAGTGTGAGTTGATCTTCCTTGGGTTGCTAATTATGCAGAACACATTAAAACCAGAGACAACACCAATCATACAACAGTTAAAAAAAGCCAATATTCGAACTGTCATGGTTACTGGTGAGTATTCAATTCATAGTAATGAGTCATGCACTGGGGTGGATCATTTGCTTGGAATGTTCTCTTGGGTAATATTTCTTATATTGCTTGTCGTGATAATTTTGCAAAGTATTTGGGTAGAGTCTGTCGTGGTCGTCGCTGTTAACCATTTACTTGAAAGCAAAATAACTAAACAAGTTTTCATTCAATCTTCGTCTAGCCTGATTACCTGATTATTAACTATCACTGCAATTTTTGTTTTATTTATTATTTTATTGAGTCTTGCACCAAAAACAACAGAATTTGCCATTCCATAAAACGCCATATCAGCACACATTCCAAAAACGTATCAACACTTATTTGAACGTTCAAATTTTTTCTTATATGGCGTAAACTAGATCACCATCAACGTCACATTCAAATATTTTCCTTTGTTTACATTAGACCCAGAAGTGTTATAGCAAGCGATGGAAATAGTTACTCACGCAAACATTCACACTCCACTAGGCATTTTCCATTCCGGAAAAATGTATAGCAAGATTATCACTAGGATACTGCCAAGTATGCTCTACTACACGTTAGTCGATATGATCACCGTACTAACTTTGTGCATACTTGGCAGTATTCTAGTGATAACCTCGTATTATACAGTTCTAGAAGTGGAAGTCAGGCGTGTATATGCAATAATTTATGTTAGGTTTCTGCATTATACTTGATTAGAAGGGATATATAGTTGAGAACTATTAGTACAATTAGATTTTATATAATCTCAGATTAGATAAACCGCTCGGTTTTGCATGTGTAATTTAATAATTTATGAAAATTATTAAAAGTACGCATATTTTGCTTTATTTAGGTGATAATATGTTGACGGCGATCAGTGTAGCTAAGGACTGTGGTATGATAGAAACACATGAAAAGGTGATAATAGTGACTGGTGTCCCACCTATGGATGGCAGGCCGGCTTCCATCAAATGGAATTATGAAGAGAATCCCATATTGAAAGATGAAATGGATGACCCAAATACTGAACAGCAAGTAAATATGTGATTATTAACCGTTTCAACTGTGCTTGATGTTGTTTCTCAGATAAATGTGAACTGTACTTTCATGTAGTGCATGCAGAATTTATTTATTTACAGGATGAGTGCCAAATTGTCCTGCTCAAATTGGGGTTAATTTTTTCAAATATTTTTTAATATTCACTAAATCAATCCTAAATTTGAACCTGACAACAAAATGTGACAGTTTTTGATTAAAAAATTTGAATTTTTTTTGCACCATATTTTTTGTTTAAAGGAGCAGATTATAAATATTTTGTGCATGGTGCCTGAAGTCAACTTTGGCACACAAAAGGTTAAATATTTCTCCAATAACTAATTACGCTGTATTAAATTCCAGTGATATACAATGTATTTCAAATTTAATCATGTTGTATTGCTTGGAATTTATAGGGGAGACAGAGGCCTGGCTTTTATCACTCCGTACATAGAATTTGAGATCTATGAATGAATTCTGGCGATAAAAACAACTTGTATGTTGACCTCTGCTTTCCTTTAAAAAACCCGTCTATAAATGTATCTCATTCTACACTACACATCATTACCTCTATTGTCTAACATATGTGAACTGAAAATAATAATATAATACAATGTTGGCACTTTGTATTATACATGTATGCAGGGGGAGGGGGAGACTGGTACTACGTTCATGTTACGGGATCTCGGCACGTGCCGAAATTTTTATTCCTCTGTGTTTGCAGAGGGATTACAGCGGTTTTGTTCACGTTAGTCAGGACCCACTTAGGAGCGACTCGGCTCGTGTCGAAATCACAGCCTCATTAGTCGATCTGTTAAACGTGGAAAACGATACGCATATGATGATAATAATGATTACTATATTGAAATTATATCCATTTGCTGTTATGGTATTTATTATGAGTCATCGTGCACTTGAACGGCAAAGAAGATTTGAAAAACAATTATTTTTCACGTCAATGTAGCATTGCAAAAAAATAGCGGTTGCAGCAGCACATAAATATGCATCGCTGACGAAGGTTTGCATTCATTTCATTCATTACTACAGCATCCAACTATATACTAGTATATCTACATTTCCAATATTTACATATTGTCATTTCATACTATCGGGTAGTATGAATCAGCATACTAGTATGTTCTTATAAATGTACCATGAGGGCGTGATTTAGGCTCATGCATAGCGTTCAGGCAGCAAATCTTGGCACGTGCCGTATTCCTATCCCAAGCATCTATCGGGACTGGAATCAAGTTTTTTTTTGGCACATGTCGACTCTGCCCCGACCGTTCACACACAAATTTCGGCACGTGTCGACTCGGCCCTGAGTCCCGGCACGTGCCGAGATCTCTAACGTGAACGCCACTTCAGTGAGCTAAATATTACAAGTCCGTAATCAGATCAGATATTACATCATTGTCGTAATCAATAAAAAAAATATTTCTCTCTCAACAGCTGCTAATTAAATATTTATATTCAAAAGTCATCAAGTTATACATAAATGAAAAGATTCCTGTTGATTTCAAGTGATTAATCTGTTTCAAGAGAAATGTTTGCTTACTTTTTACTACAATGCTTTCGTATCTTATTTGGTGAGCAAAATTATGTTCACTCATTCACTCTATGCAATCCCACTGATTAGTTTGAGCGTCACGTCACATATTTAAACATATTTTTAAGTGTGGTCACCATTCAAGGCCATTTGTTTTTGTAATTTAGGATTGCCATCTAAATTATGGAATTCTGTTAGATAAGATTTCTAATGAACTCCACAAAACCCAAAGTTCTTGTGATGCTTATAGCAAATAAAGAGTTTTTCTGCAGATCAACAGATTGGGAATGCATCTCTAACACAGCATTTTCAGAAACATACAATTTTTTTGAGAAATGTACTTTATTTTTTCTCTCATTATAAACAGACTTACCACCATACTATGACGATAGAAGAGGGTAGTAATTATCACTTCGCTGTGTCCGGCAAATCATTTGGTGTTATTAAAAACCACTTCCCGCAATTGATGTCCAAGGTAAAGATTTCATCTATTGATTCAGGATTTAGTCTTGTCACTAACCATTATAATATGTACTTGTTTGCTTTGGAAATGTTAATTAAGTTCTGTTTATGTTTTAGTAAATTAATTACAATATCTTCTACATCATATGATACTTAAAATTTTGAAAAGACAAAAATGGAAAACAATTCTGTTTCCCAAAATATTGGCTAAATATTACATTAAAACAAAATTGCTGATTTTCTGACATGCAAATCAAGGGTAATTGGTAGGGTCAAACCCAAACTATATTTCGCGGGAACTTTCACAAATTCTGACGTCGAATTGAAACCAAAGGCGATGGAAGTTGTGGAAAGTGTAAGGGAAAAGAAAGATTTAATAGTTTCCGTGCCAACTGGGTATGGGACGCCGTCTTGAATAACCAAACACCTGTGTATTGATATGTGGCAAATCATAGCGTGAAAAATCATGTGTGGCAGAGGTGTTAGCCTGCCTACGCTAAGAACTCTGGGATGGAGAGTGGAAAAGTCATGTGTGGCAGAGGTGTTAGCCTGTCTACGCTAAGAACTCTGGGATGGAGAGTGGAAAAGTCATGTGTGGCAGAGGTGTTAGCCTGCCTACGCTAAGAACTCTGGGATGGAGAGTGGAAAAGTCATGTGTGGCAGAGGTGTTAGCCTGTCTACGCTAAGAACTCTGGGATGGAGAGTGGAAAAGTCATGTGTGGCAGAGGTGTTAGCCTGTCTACGCTAAGAACTCTGGGATGGAGAGTGGAAAACCCATTGTTACTGTGAATGTGTGCATATTTTTTTGAATAAGAACAAGCAGGGGCTCTCTAGGGATGAATAGCTACCGGTAATCCATAACAAAAATGAACATCTAAAGATTTTTGAAAGCGATTTATGTTTCATGTGTTTTCTACTCCTGTCCACCTCACTATAGAGCTTGTAGATTACTGCTTTACACATTCATTTATATTGCATGTATTCATCGTCTGATCTCACCTCTCAGGGCACTGTTTTTAATAAAAGTTGCTCTCAGGGATGATTTTACTGTAAATTTATTTAATTATTTAACCCTAATCTTGTCCAGTCTCGTGTATTTTTACAGTTAATCTTGCTGTTCACTGACATCAAATAAATCCTTGCATAAAATTACAAGTTTCCCAGTATTTCCCCTAAGCAAATGTGGCACTGAGAAATGTTGTGATATTATTTCAAAAAATCTATTTGAATCGTGTGTTTTTGAATACAAAATGCTTAAAACTAAAGAAAATGTTTTTCAGAGTGCTCAATTACTCTTAGAAACCTGATCTTGCAAAAGAATGAAATAGCTGGGAAAATTAATACTTTTACAGTATGAACCACTGATACTACTTTGTTGTGATGATACTGGGTTTTGTAGCTAAGCGACCAGAGTGTACAGCTCTTCTTTTTCGACACTGGAACCACTGACTTCCTTGTCGCTATCGTTTCAGATTGTTGTCAAAGGATGCGTCTTTGCTCGTATGGCACCCGATCAGAAGAGTCAACTTGTTGAAGCTCTGCAGGAAATTGAGTGAGTTCTCTTGATCTATTTTTTGCTCAGTAACTTCATGTGTTGGGCATTATAAAAAACATAGGTGTTTCACACAAATAAATGCTGTAGAATCATGCATGTTTTTGTAAACCACTCAGTAAGCATTGCAGATGACTGTTTAATGAATTTTCTTGCAATACATATCCAAAACATGGTATCCGAACGATCAATTAACCAAACAAATACGTCACCGCCCACTGTGTTCGGATAATCGATGTTTGACTGTATATGCTTCTCTATTGGGTGATTCACTTGTAATGGATAAAAACAAAGAAATATTTATAATAAGGGTATACAACTCAGATAACCTTGTAAGATAATATGCAATGAAGATCTCGTCTCACGAGATCTATATGCGTTTATTCAAACAAATTTTAACCAGTGGCATTGTAAAACGGTGAACACTTGTTCACACATACATAGAAATTATAACAAGATTATTGCCATTTATATAAGCAAAAAACATCCAAAGACACTAGCAAAACAGTCTCATATGAGCGCTAACCAGTTTTTTCATAGAATCAGTCATTTTCATTAGTTTGTACATTTGTCTGGTGATTTCATGATTTCCTAAATTTGTGTGAAATCTTCATTGCATATCATTCATTACCAGTGAATATAAAGTTCAATATGGGATAAAGAGGATTAATGCTTTTCCAGTTATTGCTACTGAAGTTAACCGATTTGAAAAATATTATTATAGAAATATGACTACATTTTCTTTTTTGTATCACGTTAAGTCCTTAAAGGAAAAACTAACTGATAATTATGTACCTCCCTGTAGTTATATTGTTGGTATGTGCGGAGATGGAGCCAATGACTGTGGAGCGTTGAAAACTGCACACGCTGGCATTTCACTGTCAGAAGCTGAAGCATCCGTGGCATCACCGTTTACATCCAATACTCCGAACATCACTTGCGTACCAAAAGTCATCAGGTAGTGTAATCTGAAATATTTGTTGAATTTGCTTCCAAGGACAACTCTCTGTTAAAAATCTCTTTGACTTCCTTTCTAAAGGACACCAGTGAAAACTTGACTGTGAACTGTGCTGTGTGGGGTTTCATTATTTATAGGTTTTTAGTGATGCTTATTTCTCTGATAATTCAAATTTAAATTCATAATTCAGTGCACAGTAATGATGCATTCTCATTGGCAGATTGGTACCACATGATGTCCAGTTATCAGACAATAACTGAACAGTACTTGCGACAGTGCATAAATGCTCAAACAATATTGTGAATAAGAATTAACAATATCCAAAGTTTGACCACATCTGTAAGAATTGTTTTAACAACAAACCCATTATGATTTGTTCATTATAAGATGTTGTGTTCAGTTCCATCTGCAAATTTCCTTTAAGAGTTTTTGACTCCCATGTGCGAAGCACAAAATGGGAGTCTTTGCAGTTAGTGTGTCTGTATGTGTGTATGTGTGTGTGTATGTGTGTCCGACTGTTCCACTGCTATCTCAAGAACCATACATCGGTTTTTGATGAAACTTGGTGCATAGATGCTCTGGGCCAATGCGCAGATTTGATTAGGTTTTGGTGAAAATCCATGCTCGTTAATTACCTAATTTGCATGATAGTTAGCTAATTTTTAGCTGTTCTATGACTGTTCCACTGATATCTAAAGAACCACTCATTGGATTTTGATGAAACTTGGTACATAGATGCTCTGAACATATGCGCAGATTTGATTAATTTTTGGTAATAATCCGTGCATATTAATTACCTAATTTGCATGATAATTAGCTATTTTTTAGTGGTTCCATGACTGTTCCACTGATATCTAAACAACCACTCATTGGATTTTGATGAAACTTGGTACATAGATGCTC